GCGGCCGGGGATCGAACCCCGGACCTTCCGCTCTCAAGGCGGACGCTCTACCACTAGACCACGGAGGCGGTCTTGTACGCAATGAAGAAGGGAGACTTGTAAGCTTGCCAGTGTTAAACAATAGTATTGTGGAAATAAACTTAAAATTAACTGAAAATCAATATATGTTATGATTCACCCGTATGTTTTATGCCATTTTTGATTTATTTGTTTTTTTGGCAAATTGTATTCTGCAGCTGTCAACAGGGATCGCAAAATAAACAAAACGAGCCATTATCAAAGATTTGAAAAGAATACACTTCAAGCTTGGTACATATACTATTGCAGTGAGTAAATTATGGGAAGGTTCTTTGAAAGATGGATAGTAATCTCTATTAACCGATTAGTAAATTGTACTAATCTACGATAGGCCGCCAACTAGTCTCATTAGTAAATATTTACTAACTGGTGAGTAAAATATCCACATATGTTAGTGTCTGAGTGGACAGTGAAATTCACTATTTCTGTCAGTGGGATGAAATGATATACTGTGCGTACAATAGGCTGAGGCAATTGAATGTGCCCTGCGTCGATAAACGCACACGTACATCAGACAACTATTGAAACGTTATTGGGACTCACTCCTTAGTTATATTGATTTGATACCTTATATATAACACATCAGTTAACTCATTAAGGAGGTGCCATGGATCAAGCTATCACTCTCTTGAAAGATGTAATGACTTAAATATTGACATGCAGGTGGCATTTGTTTACATGGCATCAATGTTTGGCCATGCATGCATGGACAGATAGACTTTTGGGTAAATGGATGATTTCGTTATTACTATTCTTCTGACAGTGACACTAACATAAAAGAACAGTTTGGCGTGTATACTCCCCAAGGAGCTGATAATGTATTTTGGGTACACACTGATCCATTGACATGGGTAATAAGTGTGTATTCTGGTGGCAATGGGGCGTGGAGTCTCGCCAATATATTTGTCTCCAGCGTTACATGCGATCTCATACACATATTTGCTCCCAGCGTTGAAGTCGGAGACGTGTAACGTAACAAGGGAGATACAAAACACCGAACATAAGCTGACCTTGACCTTGAGTGACCTTGAGTGACCTTGAGTGAGTTGGGCTTTTCACCGCTTTTAGCAATATTCCAGCAATATCACGGCTTGGGACACTTAAATGGGCTTCACACATAGTACCCATGTGGGGAATCGAACCTGGATCAGATAAATTGTGGACCCTTGAAATTCCGGGGTAGAATTGGTCTTCAGCAACCCATGCTTGCCGTAAGAGGCGACTATACTTGTCGACTAACGGGATCAGATGGTCAGGCTCGCTGACTTGGCTGATGCATGTCATCGTATAACAATTGTGGAACGATGCTCATGTCAATCACTGGATTGTCTGGTGCAGACTCGATTATTTACAGACCGCCGTCATATAGCTGAAATATTTGAGTGCGGCGTTAAACAACAAACAAACAAATAAATTGTGATGAACAGTTGTAGACTTCCCCACCCCTGCTGCTGTGTTGTCGACTTTCCAGTGACGCACTTCAGGTATTTCCGACCTCTTAAGGTGGGGTGAAATGGGGTTTAACGTCGCGTTCAAGATTATTGCTCTCATACAGCGACGTACGTCAATACGAGCGTGTTTGGCTGCTTGTACTAGTCCGGACAAATGCCGATATTATAGTGCTTGCCCACTGAGATACCACACCACAATTTCTCATAGATACCCAATTCAGACACAGAATACTGACTCCGAACCGAACAGTCTTAGTTTATCCCCTAATGCAGAGCGCCAGGCAGGGTAACAACAAGTGCCATATTTTAACGTATTTTGATATGACGAGGTCGGGGATCGAACACCGACCTTCCGCTCACCGGGGAGACACTCTATCAAACTGACCACAGAGGCAGAACATACGCAGAATACTACCGTACAGCGCCAATTAATGCTGATTCACGTCCTCCAACTGCACGGGTATAATTCTGTGTCAAGTGATTGGTAATCCCATTGTTGTTCTGCCTCCTGTCTACCGTGTACTATCAAGTTTAACAAACTGACCAAACTCAGAATTCACTAAATGCTGGTTGTTGTTTCTTATCAGCAGTACATATGATTTTCACTATCCTACCCAGATGTTTCTGGCAAGCTTTTTGGGGGGCACGGGTGACCCAGTCGTCTAAGGCGCCGCGATTCGCTGTGCAGAGTTGCGTCACTTGGGCACGCCAAAAACCTATGATTGTGGGTACGAATCCCGGTTCGCCCCGATTATGTTTCTAGGTTTGTCAGCACCATACCCGTGCTCGTGGGTTTCACCGAAGTGGTAAACGTCTGAGACCTGCATCACTTCGGGCTTTCCTCCCATATTAAGCTGACACGCCGTGATATAACTGGAATACTGTTAAAAGCGGCGTTAAACCCAACTCACTCACTCACTCACTCTGACAAGCTTTCATTGTACTGTATAGTTGTAGGCACCGCTGTCTAGTCGTACCAACGTCTAGTTGTACAAATCACTGTGACCCTGAATATCCGGCTTAGAATAGGTCTTCAGCGACCAATGCTTGTCGTAAGAGGCGACTAAAGGGATCGGGTGGTCAGGCTCGCTGACATGGTTGATGCAAGTCATCGTATCCCAATAGCGTAGATCGATGCGCATAATGTCAATTACTGGATTGTCTCGTCCATACTCGATTATTTACAGACCGGCTTTATGTAGCTGGGATATTACTGAGTGCAGCGTTAAACAACAAACAAACAAATCACTGTCTATAGTTGCACCAATCGCTGTCTGGCTGTACTAATCACTGTCTGTTTGTACCAATCACTGTCTTGTTACATCACCCGGATCAATTTATCAAAATATAATCTTTCAGCTTTTTTATAACAAAATTCAGTTTAAATTCCTCCTTTTACTACCCTAGTTAGTATATGGAGACTTTGAGCGTTTTTCACATATTGTACTGCATTCGTCATAATGCAACATTTTAGCGAAAATATATATCAACCATAACATGGTTAAAGTCTTGTTTGTTAAACCAGGTTTGTGTAAACTATATCCAACTAGAGTCGTAACTTCACCAGACTATATCACTGTCGGAGTAACGATCCGCACGATTATATTATATACGTAGATGAAAGTATAATCTACGAAGATGAAAGTATAATCTCCGAGGATGAAATTATAATCTACGTAGATGAAAGTATAATATACGAGGATAAAAGTATAATCTACGTACATGAAAGTATAATCTACGAGGATGAAAGTATATTCAACATTAACGATCATAGTCAGGGATTCAAACACAGACTCGTATCAGTTTGGCAGCTAAGGGGGACAACCCGTATAGCGAGTTGCGGCCCTTTATGACGCTGAGTAACCTTGACCTTTGATCCCGACTCCATTCACATACCTGAGAAAATACCATGACAGATTCAACTGTTTCAACTTTCATAATTAGGAGTTTAATAATTCGTCGACAATAGAGGCCTGGTTAGCCAATATAATTAACTAGTCTCCAGTGTTGGGTATATATATTTATGCCCCGTCTACTGACTTAAATGTTATTCATCTAACTACACAGTGTAAGGATGCAAATATATGTTTCACCTGTACCTACCGTAATTCTTGATATATTTATATTCTCACATCCCAAATATACTACTCAACAGACGTTAAGGAATACCCGATTTTTTTCAACTGACTATAGTTAATATGTCATGCTAACTTAACTATTGTAATACGAAAACATAGGGTTTCCTTAATTTCTTTTGAGCATCATATGTAAGTAGTTTCTTTGGGACATTAAGTACAACATATAGATAAGTAAGTAAGGGTGTCTAAACATGGATCAAAAAGTAAAATAATCAAAAACATTTTAGTTTTGAAAAACCAAATCTGTTCCCGAAAACAATGAGAAAAATAATTTTATCTTTAAAAATGGACGCTCGCTTACATATATTCTAAATATCAGTCTGCTTCCCAGGATGTTTCTAACGTCAGTTTGACTGTCTAAAACGTTGTTCCGGTTTTTTAAAATAATCATTTTAGCTTTCCTTCGGGCAAGCGCGTGCATGTATCATTCTTCTGAAACGTCCCCTGTATCCAGCACACACACAAAAAACTTCTGTGGGCTCGATCTTGTCATGTTGTATTGTCGGGTTTATCATTTCAACCGATTACTATACTCAAGCTTTGAATACTACAACAATGTAATACCCCACGTGATCTGTGAGGCATGCGTAGATACGGTATCCAGATAGCTATTCACAACAGCGATCGGTTTTTTTCACAATGCAAACCAAATCATCTCTTTAATTAATCACATTATTGAAGTATATGCATGAGGTACTGGGTGCATAGCATTAGGCTGGCTCACGGCAAATCTATATTCAGAAGTCAACAACCATGAACTTTGTCATCAAAACTCTTTGTGTCACTATATCATCTAGTTCTCTGCTCAGAGAAATGGTTTAACTTACTGAATTCAATTCCACTCTACACCTTTCATCTAGTCGCCGTAGTGAGGCAATAGCGGGATTCAAATTTATGTTTACGTGTGAATGGTTTTTATCTACTTTTACCATATTGATCTATTGTGTCGATCTCCCTGTAAGGAATAGCTATTTGAGTGTAATGTTTCCCAATACTGGGTGTAGCTGACTGTTAAATTTCATTCTGCCTCAAGAACAAATTGTCGCTGACACCGTGAGCTGTCGTGCACGCCTCTCCCATTCACCCTTATAGAACCAACAAGGCCCCACGTGATGGGCTGAAAGCGACCGGTGATAACATATACACGACAATAAGGTAGTATATTAATATAGAATTGAAATATTACATTTTGGTGTGATTTAATGCCAATAAATGGGCACGTCTACTTTCTGCGCCGAGTATCATTGGTCGCAGCTCCCTATCAACCATGTTACACATGACACAAGCAAAGCTCTGGTGTGAATAGGCCGTGATGAATTAAAGTTCCCACCCTGGGTATACAGGGGATAGTCCAGGAGGCTACCCATATCTATCGCACAGCCGTAGCGATAGCCGCCAGGTTATCTACCCGTACCCCGACCGCGCGCGTCAAGGTAGTCGTGGGCAAACAGATTTATTGAGGGATATGTGTTAGATTTTAAAGGATTCGTGAGAGGGACACTTTGTTGACAAGGTCCCATGTTGGCAACACTTGCTTGTTACCTGTTGTATGGATAACAATCTGTGAGAGGATCAACGTTTTTACAGGTTAAATTTCAGATGTCATGACCGGCTTTCTTCTCTTTGAATTGTGAAGTAATTCAAGTGTTTGACGTGATTGCATGACATACAAACATAATTCTTTACAGTTCTTGCCAACGAACAAGTTTGACAAGATGTGAAACTGTTTTTCAGACCCGGATTAAATATCAAGTGACGACAAGGAAAATTTATTAATCTCATCATGTGGACTGCTACAAGGGGAATGTTTCTGTCCCTTGTTGTTTCGGATTTTTGATGAATTATTTTTAGGGAGTAAACGAACTTGAAATAATTGGCGTGGGCCCATTCTGTAGCTGACCGAGTGACAAGGGGATTATTTGAATTGAATCCACATTTGGAGTTATATTGTGGTGTGTTTTTTTAGTATATTGTGAAGCCGAGTTTCAAAATGGTGTTACTCGGAAATGGAAGTTGGTCCGATCAGGCCAACATGCAGGCCAAAGTGTCTGGAAGCTGGTCGGAACAAGCGATGTCGCTCCTGCTGCAGAAGAAACTACAAGAACACAGATTATTGGAGTTGCAACGCGCACCTGCCAAACCAAAGACATTCCACATGGCGCCTTCACACATAGACCACCACGTGCATTCTCAGGTACGTCAATCTCTGGCTTTCAATGCCTGCGATGAATGATGTATTTTGTCAATCTCAGTATTTTCTAGTACATGTGATCACAATATTACCAAGATTCCTTTACAAGTGGAAATGTCGGTCTCGGTTCAATGACAACCATTTCCAATGTGAAGACTCTCTGGCTTTAGCCAATGAGCACATTTTGACAAGATTTACAAATTATTCGTTTTCCTCAGTTTTCCGTAAGAGGTCGGGACAGTTGTTCATATACAAATGTTAAAGTAGCACGTTTTACACGATCGGCGTATCTCCCCCCCCCCCCCCCCCCCCCGTTAAGTTTATGTTGTAACTACATGTACATCTGGAAAATTATTAAACACCGCCGACCATATGTTTACATATAAAATAACATTTAATAAAATGATTTTGTTTACAAAGTGACATACTCATATTATTCCGAAGAACTAAAACGGAAACAGAAATGTTCAACTACAGGTTTGAAATGTTCCACGGTTAATAATTATTTGAATCGAAAGGCATAAAATTATAACTACAATGCTCAAACATGGAGCCAATATTGCTGCAGCGTACTTATTATAAAAATAATATATTATTGGTTTTGCAACTGTACTGTATATATAATATAAACAATAACAAAAGCTTTAACAAGAGTGTGATAAGACACCAACATCACTTTGTAACGCCCTCCCTTCCAAGTGGAGCTTCATGGCATGAGATACTCGTGTTGTTTTATAATATAATAATGTCTTTCTCCTAATTCAAAGCACGGAATTAACGATCAAAACAGAATGGTTATCGGATTTGTAAATACGAAAAGTTATCGGTCCTTTCCGTTGTATTCGTTTCTATGCGTATTGTCATAAAACAATGAAGGACATAATATGTTTCCATGACAACTGTTTGTTTGTTGTTTAACGCCACACTCAGCAATATTCCAGCTATATAACGACGGTCTGTAAATAATCGAGTCTAGACCAGACAATCCAGTGATTGACATCATGAGCATCGATCCACGCAATTGGGATCGATGACATACATAAACTAGGTCAGCGAGCCTGAGTCTTGTAGGCAGGATGCAAGAAAAATAAACCCAATCGAAATGCTTCTGATAAATATTAATCAGTTTTCTTGTTTCGACGCTGGGTGCGGCGCTTTCAAATTGGGAAATGATACGTGTAAAGAATAGGTTTAAAAAGTAAAACTTCACCATTTTGAAAACAAAATCATATTGCAGCAAACATTCTCATTCGTTTTATAGATATTACAGTAGTCAATATCGACTATTTATTTTGTGTACAAGATGACGAAAGTGTTTAGCCTTGGTGGAGTAGCCCAGTGGTTGAAGCGTTCGCTCGCCGAAAGCCCGGGTTCGATTCCCAACATATGTGAAGCCCATTTCTGGTGTCCCCAGGCGTGATATAGTTAGAATATTGCTAAAAGCGGTGTAGAAACCAACTCACTCAGTCACTTAATCAAATAGAATAACAAACATAACTAAAATGACTCACCCATTTAGTTTTGGATGTAGCTATGGTAAGTAGTTCAAAAGCTCCATTCCGTGAATTTTTAAACATACCGTCCCACTAGTCCTTACTACGGAATTGGGAAAATGTTGATATCCTCAAAGAGATTTTGTCAAGCGAATCCTATTTCGTTGCAGAGCTTTCGAGTAACGTCAATTTCACTGATTGTTTTCATTCTCGTTTATTTATCTACGACGACATGTCGTTTATTTATTGGGAAATAATATGATCAGTTTGTTGATTATTAACAACACCACCACCCGCCATCCATCATTTCTGTGACACATGAACGTTCGGGGTAGAATAGGTCTTCAGCAACCCATGCTTGCCGTAAAATGAGACTATGCTTGTCGTAAAAGGCGACAAACGGGATCGGGTGGTCAGGCTCGCTGACTTGGTTTGATGCATGTCATCGTATCCTAAATGCGTGGATCGATGCCCATGTTGTCAATCACTGGATTGTCCGGTCCAGACTCGATTATTTACAGACCGCCGTCATATAGCTGGAATAGTGCTGAGTGCGGCGTTAAACAACTAACAAACAACCATCATTTCTGTTCCCCCTCCCCTCTCGTCCTCCGCTCAACAAAGACTATCACAAGGCTACGTTAAGCCAACGGAGTTACGACAGTCGTAATGCTAAGATCGCTTTGTGGCACGGATCCTACGGTCCTTTCATGGGGGGTCCCCGTGCCACAAACCGATCTTAGCATTACGACTGTCGTAACTCCGATGGCTTAACGTAGCCTTGTGATCGGCACGGGTCCTACGGTCCTTTCATGGGGTACCCGTGAAGATTCCGGGGTAGAATGGGTCTTCAGCAACCCATGCTTGCCGTAAAAGGTGATTATGCTTGTCGTAAAAGGTGACTAACGGGATCGGGTGGTCAGACTCGCTGACTTGGTTGATGCATGTCATCGATCCCAATTGCGTGCATCGATGCTCATGATATTGATCACTGGATTGTCTGGTCCAGATTCGATTATTTACAGACCGCCTTCATATAGCTGGAATATTGCTGAGTGCGGCGTTAAACAACAAACAAACAAACAAACCTTTCATGGGGATTCTGGATTAGAATTGGTCCCCAGCAGCCTATTCCTGTTGTACGAGGCGACTGAATGGATCGGGTGGTCAGGCTCAGTGTCTATGACGATAATGTGTCATCGTACCCCAACGGCTCGGATCGTTGCTCATAATATCAATCACTGGTTTATCTGGTCCAAACTTGATTATGTACAAGCTGCCACCATGTAGCCCGAGTCCGGAGTTAAACAACAAACAAACAAAAGGAAACATCACAGACAGACAGACAGACAGATTTTTATTTAAGTCTCACCTCATAAATGTACATTATAAAATACAGCATCTTATTAAAGTTTGAGCCACTCCATATGGAGTTATGAGAGACTATATATACTATTTACACATATATACAGATATAAATTTAAAAAACTATATAAACAACGTGTTTAGCGAAGATAAAAAATGTCTTTTCTTTTCTTTAAAACATAATAGCAGGTTTTGGCCGCAACATAGCAAACATCATGACTGGACAGTATAAAACATAACTTTTCAATATCAGGTAAAATATCAAAATTTGGACAAGTATTAAAACATAAATCAAGTAACTGGGATCTCTCAAAATTGTATAAAGGACATTTAAGTAAAACATGGCATTCATCTTCTAAAATATTCTGACATGAAAAACATCGTAAACATGTGCCATCGTATCGTCCCGTCTCAATCCCTATAGGGGCTGTTCCACTTCTAAAACTAGCAATTGCTCGTCTATAAGAACGAGGCATAAAATTACTAACATAAAACTCACAAGAGAGTTATACATAAACAAATAATGTATTTGTTGCGGTGTAATGATTACACAGCAGATACATACAGAACCTATTTATTGAGTTGACTTTTCCTTAATTACAAGTAAGTTATCCGCTCGTGTTTTGGAATTTGACATTTTCAGGTAAATCAGCGGCATGGTCGTCAGCGAGAAACCTATGCTAGGGACGTGTGTTTTACTCGAGTGTTCGAATATCCATAATAAAACAATAAAATGTTCCTCATATGGTTGGAATCAGCACGACAAACATTTGCTAAGCAATAAAACCACGATTATTTTTTTATGAAATCAAACAAGCTACCGTATCCAGCGAAATTAATCAATAGTGTTTACAGCGTCATTCCTACAATGGAGTATTGACAATTTGTTCAACAATCGTGATGTTGCTATCAATATAAAAGCTCATGTTTGATTTTTGATTTATATGCCCACCAAAATCAAATAAAAATGTTAAATCATAGCGTGGGTCTCCTCACACAAACATTCAAATTCAATAATAATGGGGTCGTAAATAAACGCTAAATCGTCCGGTATCAAATCATTTGACGAAAAAGAATAGCGATGCCTTCAGAGCGATTGAGTGATGTATGGTCGTACTTGACACCAGGGCCAAGAACATTAGTCACCAAGTTCATTACAACGTATATAAAACTCTTCATAATAACAAGGCCCTGAAGGAACGAGTCAGACACGGAAATGGAAGAACAGTCCTGGTTGAACTGAGATGCAATAGCGGGTTCAACTTTGAAAAGGAGACCCACTAAAATTGGGGGGCGGGGGGTTCTGGACCTGTGGAAAATCTAGACTTGCTGCGTTTAGAACTATAGCATTACAGTAGGGCCTGGGGTGGGGAGTGGGGGGTGGTGTGTGTGTGTGGGGGGGGGAATATGGTTCGGGGACTTGGACGCGATGGTCTGCCAATGCAAGAACGGCTCTGTTTGTTGTCTATCGCTGTAGGATCTCAGTACGTCACTACTTTAGGATCTCAGTACATCGCTGTAGGATCTCAGTACATCACTGTAGGATCTCAGCACATAGCTACTTTAGGATCTCAGTACATAGCTACTTTAGGATCTCAGTACATCGCTGTAGGATCTCAGTACATCGCTACTTTAGGATCTCAGTACATCGCTGTAGGATCTCAGTACATCGATGTAGGATCTCAGTACATCGCTGTAGGATCTCAGTACATCACTGTAGGATCTCAGCACATAGCTACTTTAGGATCTCAGTACATAGCTACTTTAGGATCTCAGTACATCGCTGTAGGATCTCAGTACATCGCTACTTTAGGATCTCAGTACATCGCTGTAGGATCTCAGTACATCGATGTAGGATCTCAGTACATCGATGTAGGATCTCAGTACATCGCTACTTTAGGATCTCAGTGCATCGATGTAGGATCTCAGTACATCGCTACTTTAGGATCTCAGTACATCGCTGTAGGATCTCAATACATCGCTACTTTAGGATCTCAGTACATCGCTGTAGGATCTCAGTACATCGCTGTAGGATCTCAGTACATCGCTACTTTAGGATCTCAGTACATCGCTGTAGGATCTCAATACATCGCTACTTTAGGATCTCAATACATCGCTACTTTAGGATCTCAGTACATCGCTACT